AACTGAAGCCGAACTTTTATTTGTTTGACTCGTGAGCAACAAACTTTCCTCCTTGTTCTTTTCCGCCAGTTCTGGTCTCCGTATTTCGCTCGATTTTATTGCAGCAGCTATGCCACAATAGGGTTTAGAAATATTTAGCAAGATATTAAAATAAAAATATTTTGAAGACTATTTAAAATTCTAACCTCCGCTTATTATTCTACCCTTTTAGAGCAAACACAAGTTTAAAAAGAAATAGCCTTTAGCGTAAAAATAGCCAAGTTGATTTCACTAGCCAGAGGAATGCAACTTCAAAGTAGAACCCCAACAAGCTGAAGATGCTCTGGAAAGTGCACTCCAAATTACTCGAATGATACTTGATGGTTGCAATCAGCCCGAGACCTCCAAAGTCCGACGGGCAGACTTCATTATTCTGATGGCAATTAGCAAATTGAGTTCCATAATATTTCTGTTGTCCGTTTCGCAGTTCCTCTGTGGGAGTTGCTCCTCAAATTTTATTGTTGGAATGTTGTCAAGCAATTAGTGCAGCACGAGTGGCTTTCCCTCTTTTCCGAGGGCACACGCTGCGTATGCTTGATGCGCTCTGGGAGGGCTGCATGTGCAACCATACAGTGCATGGCATTGAAATGAACTTAAGAATCCTTCAGAAAACACAACATTTTTTGTCAAAACAAAAAAAATTCCTTTATTCGGAAACTAAAATATTTAAAAAATTTTTATACACAAGAGATAAACAGATTTTTCACTCCATGTATGCAAATACACGACCGTTCTCTGCCACACATCGTCAACTGGCTTGATGGCTCAATCATCCCTGCAATTGTTATGTTCCTGATCCATTTAACCTTATTGGCGGCAAACGAGGGACACGCCAGCAGGCCAAATGAACTGGAAACAAAAATTCTCAGCGCCCGATTTGTCGCCTTGTTTTTGGGCCACACACGCACTCTCGCCCGATTCCCGACGATAATCATAATATTATGAAAATGGGGGGAGAAATATGATACTTTAACCGACAATACACTGTCTTTTATGTGCATACGGATAACGGATATGGTTACATAACTCGAAAGCGAACCGATGACAAAGCCAGTCGAAAGTTGGCACCGCATTGATCCATGTTGACAACTTTTGGCGGGTCGCGAAAATACAAATAAATATGCCAAGCGATTCGCATACTTTTACGCTCGACTGCTCATCGTGAATCCAAAAGGATACTGGTAGGGTTCGCCTCCGTGGCTCAAACAGTTTATTTTTATTGCCAAGAGACGCGACTTGGTCATATCGATGCCGCATGCCGATGCCGATGCTCCTGTCTCGGCGAAAGGCAATTGTGCCCATTTGTCATCGAAACAACGAGCTGACAAGAGTTCCAGCGGCACTTACCACATCGGGGTGCTCAAAAAAAGCCACGGCAGCAAGAATCACAGTTGCAGACAAATATTGACTTTAAAAAGTCCCCAAAAAAGATTCCCACTCGTCCAACCCCGAACGCGAAATGCAAAATGTAAAACCCTTTTTGGCCACACAGAAGTGCTTTTAATTAAGCATCGATATGTGCTTAAATATAAAATGTCCTTACATATTTAATTAAAAGGAAACTGTATCCTGCTGCCATCTACAAAGGGACTTTGTCCTCGTTTTTAATTGCGCATTTCATGCATTTTAATGCGACTGCCCACATAAAAGATAGGCCACCCCGGCCCCGCGCCAAAGACATGGTAATGAGCTCAAAACCAACAAATATATAAAAACGAGAAACAAATTAAAAGCGAGGCAAGCATATAAATTTATTATGGCTGTGGCTTTCGGGTGAGGAAAGATCTGTCGCTGCACACTGATATGGAAATAAACTTGGGTCGCTAATCAAATGTAAGCACATTTAATGTTTAAATAAACAGAAATGAGTTGATCCGGCGCAAATAGATGAAATGTAATGAAAGGGACGAGAGCCTGTAAACCCGAAGCTGGCTTACATCTGCGTCTCTCAGTCACAGAGTTTTTTCCTTTGATTAAGTCCCGCATAAATATTTATGTGGAGTAACAGCAGCAGCGAATATGCGCATTCATGACGGCCCAAGTGGTATTTAATTGAGAAGTAAATTATACGGAGCACGTGATGGGGAGTGGAGGAAGACTGGCCGAGCCCCACAGCGAATCGACTGATGGATATCCAGGAAAAGCCTCTCGAACTAGACATTTCAATTAGTAGCCAGAAGCTTTTATAAACAGAAATTATATTTTATACATTTTAAGCGAACAACAAAGTTTGGATAAGCCCTTAAGAGGTGACTCTGTACCCTTTGGATTGGACGATAATATTCATTTATAAAATAAACTTCAATACGAAACCAAAACAAACACATGCGATGCTTTTTTGGCGATTCTGCCACTTGAACAACGAAAAAAAACAACAAATTTTGTTATTGAGTTAGCAGTGATACTCACACCACCCAGGAGGAAGAAACAAAACAAATATACGAACCACGAGGGCCACTTTCAGGCTTGCCAAACAACGAGAAAAAAGTCAACGAAAGACTGAGAAATTGTGTGTATTTTTGTGGGGATATTTTCAGTTGGGGCTTCGTTTTATTCCTTTTGAAGTGCCACGGAAAAAGACGAGTAAAAAGTTGGGTTTATGTCTGCTACTGCAGGGCATAATTCCCTTTAAAGACTTTAACGCTTATTTAATAATTTTTTATTGTAAAGAAACGTACTTCTATGCTATTTGCGTTTGAGAAGTTTTAAGTGCCGACGCGGGGGGCTTCTTCGGAACTTTATGAAACTTTTGGTTTATTATCACAATTTACGAGTATTGTTTTAAAAAACAATACACAGTTGCCTCTGTTCTCCAGTGAAAAAATTACAGTGAGCAGAATTTCAATTAAAATCGAGTTCAATGGTTCTGATTCTTAATTAATTAAGAGCGAAATTATGAAAGCATAGCCTCATAATTCTATTAAAGCCATATGCAGCCCAGCATGCATTTTTTGTCAAATAGTATTCCATTGATTATTTCAAGGACACTTTTGTTGTGTTGCAGGTTAAGCCCATTGTTATTCAACATTTTTCAGATATTCCAACAGATATTTTTCGTTTATATTTAATTTGCATTTGCATGCATAGGTTACAGTTTCTCTTTCAACAGTTAAAAAAAACGATTCGAATTTGCCTTTTTCAAACACAGGAGAGCAAAAGAAATGGTTCTGGGGGGCTGGGATTGAATTGTCACAGCTGCAATTTTTCAAACGTCAAATCAAAACAGAAAACCAATTACTTTTGATGATTAATTACCATTTGCGAAGGCACTGTGCGTAGGCAACAACTGTTGAAGACCGCAGAATGATTTTGATTGCGACCCGAGCTAACTGCTCCGTTTGATTTATGATTCGATCAACCCTTTGCTGACAAGTCCCCGATGTAAAGTGACGGCCCCCGGCCACCGAAGGACCAAACTTTCCTGAACTTGCTACTGCGACATGAAAATCACCTTAAAATTCATAAGTTTGTAGCGGGAGGCGGGCTCCAGGAGGCGTCACGGCAGAAGCCGCAAGTAAAACAGCAGCTGCATGTCATTAACTATATGAGCGGCGGGGCGTAATCCTCGCACCACTTGGCGCGCATAGCACCACACGGCGTATGCGTAACGCCGCGACCAACTTTTCAGCGCTTCATTTTTCGAACATTTAGCACCCACAGCCGCAGTTTTGAGTGCGTGGTGCGACACCTCCGCCCTGCCAGCACTTTTCATTTTATTTTTCAGACTCGACTCCCGACTCAGCCTGCGCTATTTTGTTGTCATCAAAGCTGCGGATTATGCGCACAAAAACGAGAGTTTATGTATGAAATTATGCAAAGCAGACCCTACCGCCAGACGATAATGAAGGTGGTTAGGAGTCCTGCGGCTGATGACGTCGATTCCGCTCAGCACTGAACTCTTTAAAGCCCGCCAAGGCTAACGCGGTTTCCTTTCATTATGAAAGCAATTTTGTATGCGATTATTTTGATTGAAACGAGAGTGAAATTTTGTATGCCTGCATTGAAATTTCATATTTTAATTACAATTCGGCTCTGGCCCGAAAGTGACCCAAATGAATACGATAATGTGTATTACATGTGTGTATGGTTGTGTCTGGTTACTGAAAGAAAGGGTCTTTCAGCCCTTTTATTCTGAGATACCCAGCTGCATGCATCGTTGCATAATTATGTTGCCAAACTGGTTCGCTGACCAGCAAAAAACTCAAAAGTATAACCCTAAAAGTCCTAACCCCAAGTTACTTGAGCATGACGAATGGCTTTGTCGAGTTTATTGAAGTTCTACTGGATATTTTATTAAAAATTTCACAGTCACAGGTGCGGCAAAGTTTTCAATACGCTTCTTGCCAAATAATGGGATGGATGGGTTTCTTTTTCGACCAACTTCTGGATCTTAATGCTGCTAGAACCTGTTGTCGAAGATTAAATATTAATGGCTCCCATTAATATCATCTTCAGCCGTCCGAAACCAATAAAATTTCCCTAATGTCGCGATATTTATGGCAACATTACTCAAGGGCGCTAATTTACGTTTCGTAAAACGAACTAAAAATCGATACAAGATAAAGTTGTAATTACTTCATGATTTATTTGGGAAACGCCTCTAGTCACAGCCAGGTTCTGGAAGGCGAGTGATTTTTGAGGAAGCCTCAGAAGGGCGGAAGTAGGGGCTACTTGACACCGCTGTGGCGGTTAGTATTCATTCTGCGGTTTCCGATTCACAAGTCATTGGAGCAGGTGTAAGCCTATCACGATTCGGAGGTAACTTCTCACTTGCAAAGGCAATCAACTTGAGACATTTCAAGGCAAAGAACAACACTGAACTTGTAAGAAAATAAACAAAAAATTAATGGATTCTTTTAAGGGCTTTGTTAATAGCTTTTCTGCACCCCCTGAAAATTGCATTTGTTTCCCAATCAATATAGCCATAAAATTGAAAAACAGGGATCTTGCACCACACTTACCACACCCACAGCGGCATGTAAATCGAAAATTAGCAGGAATCGTCACTTTACATCACTCCGGCTGCAGGACCGGCTGTAAATCATGATGGAAACTGGCACTGGCACACGGGGGCGACCACAAAGCACACAATCTGGTCCAGTATTTGGCGGAGGGATCCTCCTCCGGGGCTGGTCTGTGTGGATATTCAAATCAGGTGCTGGGCGCCAATAAATGAAATCTGTTACAGGGTTCACTGCCACACACAATAACTAACACGCACTGGACTCCGGCACACACAGGAATCGATGGTGGAGTCCACGCAGTTCCGTTTGTTCAGCAAATGAACCGTTATTTGTGTTGATTTAGTTTCGGAACTTGGTCTTTAGGTTTTGCCTTTTATTAAAGTTGAAATTAAGCTACGGCTGCTAATTAACTAGCCAGGTTTAATTAAGGTTTGTCGCAAGGATTAGGCCTGATTTGTGGCCAAGTCAAGTTCACTTGTCAGATCTTTAATCTCCCAGCGCGGATATGGAAACTGACGCGAAACGCCGACCGAATCTGGTCTATAGCCGATACTACAGTTTACGCGGTAACCGACCGCACTCCCGAGAATCACACGAACGTCTGAAGTCGGACGAAAGCGCGCCAGCAAGATAAACCCCCAAGCCCCAGCCGAGAGAACGTTTCGGTTCGAGCTCCAAACCGTTCAAACCGGTTGCAAGCGGACCTCTGAGGTTCGAACCCGAAGTGTACTTCGTGGATTCCATGTTTTCGAGTTCTGAGCTTCGATCTTTAGTTTTGTTCCCAACGGGATTTTAGTTTAAATTTAAATTTAAATACTTTATATAATTTTAATATAATTTTTAATAAAGGAAACAGTCGCAGGCTTAAAGGACATAGTCTTTAGTCCATAGGACATAGTCTTGTACCCATCTATATGTTAAGAATTTTTACTGGTACTACTATAAGCCTACTGGTACCACGTCAAATCTAATCGAAATAAAATGTTTGTACTTGACTCAAGTAGCCTTTTTAAAAGCAGTTTAAACCCACTTTTAAGGAGTAACTGTTGCTTCTTTCATAGAACCGTGAAAAGACGAGCTTCTTCTATGTGCAACATCCTTAGAATTACAATGCAGTTGCCGGAAAGTTTCAGCTAGAAAACTAAAACTCAAATATAAGAAGGCAAGCAACTTTGGCCATAAAACATGCTCCCGAACCACACCTCCCCAAACAGCACACACACTCAGAGGAAAGCCCAAGGAAAAAAGGGAAACCTCGCCCCAAGAAGGGCCGTCGCGGCAAAGCAATGAAAATTCCGACCTACCGCAATAAATTCCGCGGGAAAACAACGCTAGCGATGCCAAAATGAGAGTGAAATGGCCGACACACTACCCCCCTCGGAAATGCCTCAAGGAAGCATAACGCACACAGGGACACCGCAGCATGCCGCTATAAATCGCGCTTAGCCAAAAAAACAAAACAGCATCAGGCATCAGATTCGCTGGCGAATTCAGAGTCTACCTTCAGGTAGGAAGCGGCAACCTTTGACCTGACACAATGCTCCACATTCTATGTTTGTCCCGTTCGAGTTGGAAGCGCGTCTGCGCAGAAAGTGTTGCGAGGAAACAGCTGTTCTAGGCGAGTCCTTACCTAGGACAACATGTGCACTAGTGGGAGTGCAACCTCTGTCCCCCTAGCCGACAAGTCCAAATACTTTTATATTCACTTTATTTCGAAACAGTCTGCTCTAAATGGTTTTGGATGAGGAAACTGGTGTGAGTGTTCCTAGGCCAAGGGACGAGATTCAACAGCAACTGATCTCCCCAGCAGCAACGAGTACAGCTTTCACAACGTGGTAGTCTCATATTGTAGTCGGCATACGGAAGGATGAAATAGCTCCTTACTCATCACAACGTTTCCGCCAAATTATTTCCAATCGACGCCCTACCATCCGCAGGGGCAAGAGCTGCAGCAACCACAGGGGCCGCAAGGCCCGCAGCAAGGTCCACAGGAAGGGCCACAGCACGGAGAGCAGCATCCACCCTTCAGAGGCGCCAAGCAGCCGGGAGGGCAGGGTCCAATGTAGAAGGGATCGAAGGAGCACACGAGCATCAGAACCATGTTGAAGGCTTAGTTTCGGTTAGGGCCAACGGCTTCTCCAGATATTGTTGATATTTTTGAACTATGAAAATAAAATAAAATATTATATTAATATTTATTTTAATATTTAAATTATGCCTAATATTTTCTTTATATTATTTATTTTTATTTATTAATTTGAATTTGAGTTTGAATTTTTTTTTTGAATTTTAATAATTTTGATTTAAACTTAGTATTTATTTTTGGTTCTTTTATTATACTTACGTTTTTATTTTGGTTTTTGCTGCTGGGAAAATAGTTGTGTTTGGCCTCAACTAAAATTTAGAATTTGGATTAATTTTTCATTTCCTTTTTATTTTACTGGAGCGATGTGTTCAGTTCGAGATGTTGAAAAGGAATGACCTGAACTCCGTCGGGTCTAGACTAGGTCGACAAAAATGTGAAATTTCGAGCTCCAACGCCTACTAGGAATTTAAAAATATGAAATTTTGAGAAAAAGTACAGCCTGCTGGGATCTAGTCCTCTGCCGGTGGATCTGCCTCGGGTTGGGGCGCTGATTCCGGTGCCGGCTTGTCTTCACCCTGGGTCTCGGACTTCTCCCCACCGGTGCCTGAGCTGGCGGCCAATCGTCCTTCGCAATCGAGTGTCGGCAGGAAGGTGCCCACTATATCGCGGGCCCTGCCCCCGATACTTTGGACCATGGAGCAGGCGTTATCCATTCCATCGCTCTCCACCAGCGAGGTTATGCCCTCGACTGCAGCCAGCTGATCGCCCATGGGGCTGCCGTAGTTGAGCGCCCTGCAGAGGGGGGTGGCGGTGCGTTCCGCCACCACGTCACTCACCTGCGAAATCGAGTTGGCCACCACCAGGAACAGAGCCAAGATACTGGTCACGCCGATGGTCGTGTGCACCACATCCATTTTCCTCTGGATAGAAAAGAGGATCGTCTTACCTGGCTGACAACTAGTTCTCAGGCAACTAACCTGGGTTTCGAGAGGGAGCTTGTGCGGGGCTTACTGACCAGCGACACTACCATGTCGTAGATAGAAATAGCCAGGTTATAAAAGACTCCAGAGATGTCAGCAATTCGATAACGGAATCTTCGCTGATCACCGCAGTCTCCACCGGACGGATTTCTGGCGGCGGATCATGTACGATCCGGACCATTTTCTCCATCAGGGGTATAACCTGGCTTACATCGACCACGGGCTCCGGTTCCTGGTGCATTTCCAACAAGGATTCGTGGAAAATGATTGCCCATCTGACGATTAGAGCAATCAGGCTCTCTGCCAAATCCCCAATCGGCTGCAGGACACCAAGCTCAACGCGTGCGACCGAAGCAGACATGAGGCAAATAATTTAGAAAATATATGAGGTGTTTTTACTGTTTGTTAAGCATGTTATGATTTATTATTCTATTGACAAAGTCTTCAGAAGTAAACGTTCTTCGCTCAGCTTGACTCCTTCCCTGAGTTTTAGGTAGTGTTCAAAGCGGATGCCAGTAGTACCTCATCAACAGCAACCCCAGCCACACGGAGTGAATCCCGAGTAGCACCCGTAGGGACACGGCCCACAGGCGCAATCCGGATACGGACCCACGTAAAAGGGGTTGAACTTGGGGGGGCAGTAGTATCTGCAGCAGGCCATTTTGAACACTTCGTAATAGTCTGAGGAAACACAAACAGTCTACACACATCCGTGGCTAGTCATACATCCTACTTACCAAGTATTTAATCAAGCAGAGAGAAAAAATAAATTAAAACAACGTATGTGGGTGTGCACATATGTTTGGAGAAGTTGTGTGTTGACTTTTGAGTCGAATGTGTCTTGATGTGTCAGTTTCTTGGTGAAATGGATTATCCCTTTCAAAGGAGATGTTTATAGACCATGTTGTGGATACCATGGATGGATGGAAGTGGTAATTAAATCTCATTTAGGACTGATGGTAAACATTTACGCAAAGACTAGTTCGATTCAAAGACGAGGAATCTGATCTAAATAAATGTGTTTATTTTTCATTATATTATTGGAAAATAAATACACTCCGGAAATCCGAGTCCTTCTTGAGGCATCAGTCTGGTAGCATCCCTTCTAAGGTTTGGATTTCCGCTCCTCCTTGGGTTTGTCCTTCTCCGGCTCCTTCTTCGGACGGGCGGGACTGCAGCATGGCAGCTGCACCTCCGGACAAACATCGCAGGCCGGGTTGGGGCAGTTGTTTTCCTCCAAACAGTCGGTGTCGCAGCATGGCGGATCGGGACCGATGTAGCCAGGATTAAATATGCAAGGCATGTCGCAGTCTCTCCACGAAGAACGGGCCTGGGGGCTGAATAGCGGAGGCAGGTGGGCTGTACTTTATAGATTTTGAAAATTTACATAGAGAAACAGACTGGGTAATGTTTTCGGCTGTAGGTGAAAGAGAGAGACTGTGCCAGGGATCCGGCCCATTTCCATTGTAATTAGAACACAATAGGCTAGGCCAACTAGATGCCCGATATGGCCAAAACAAACGTTGTCAAACGTGCTCTATCGGATTTAATTACACCACGAGGCAACGAAAATTTATGCGATTTTCAGAGAGTGTGATATGAGCCAAATATTTTTAATATTTTATACTTTTCACAAAATACGCGTGTAAAAATGTATTATTTTGCAGGCGAATCAGCTTCCCTTTTTGTGACCCAGTGTAGTCGGACAGCAGGCACGTTGACCCCGCCCACAAAATCAGACACAACCTGCCGAATGCCCATAATTATTTCATAATCGGCCAACACTTCTCGTTTATGGTGACAAAAGCCTGCAGATAGACAAAAGCCCCTGCAGCCCATATCGCCGGGGGCAGCCATCGAAATTTGGGCCACAAATGACTGCAGGCGCAAATATGGAATTTAAGTTGAATTTAATGAATAATTAAGCTGCAATGGGAGGCAGACGCTGGACGCAACGGAAGTGCGGCATTTGCATAACTAACACAATGAACTACATACGCCGCCACGCAGCAGAAAGGCAGACAAGACTTGGGCCGTTCATAAATTAGATATGCAAATGCAAATGGAATTGGAAAACTAACGGCACTGCCTTTGTCAATTAATCAATCAATCAACGCAGCAGCAATCCACTGCGACTGCCAGTGCGATCCAGAAAGCTTTGCGGAAATCACTTGTCCGACGTCCGCCGGAGCTGTCCGCCGCCTCCACTGGGGAAACCTCTCCAGAAAGCTGGAAAAAGCAGCAGCATCTCCATTCATCTACATCACGCATGCCAATTTGCTGCAGCACGGTTTTTGATTGCCCGCTAAGTTCAGAATGCTTTGAGCCCCATCATCGGAGCCGATCTGCCAGTTCCGATGCAAGGCGATGGCAGAGTCATTAGCATCAAAGGGCAACGTTGACACGACCCCTGCCCCTGGCAGCTGATCTGCACAGTGGAGTGGGCACTTTACTTCGCAGCCGAGAAGTTACTGCATAATTGGGTTTTGAGATTCGTTTATCAAAGCACTCCGATTATAAACCATATTTTGTATAGTCTAATGCCTCCAAAATGGCAAAGAATCGTGGTTTTCGAACCACTGTTTCCCTTATCGGCTTCAATGTCGCCTGCTGCAGCCGTCAAAGTCGTGTGCACTATTTGTGTAATTTATATTCAAAGCGCATCGTGATGCGGCGAGTGCGTCATGGAGGTGGGGAGGTGTGGCTGGTGGCTTGTGAGGGGGAGGGACTCGGTTTCGGACCTCTGGTGCTGGTCACTCTGGGCGAAAAGAGCTCTCCTCTGGGCGGCGGCGGCACTTCCATGGCCATTTCCACTTCCACCAACTGCCTGTGCAGTCGCGCGAACTGCTTTTAAGTGGCGTTGGCCATGTTGGCTGTGTTGGTCAGCTGTGGGCGGCAGTTGGTAAGAGGCTGGTGGTCAAAGTCGCTGCAGAAAACCAGCAGCAGTTCCCTTCAGGCTCTGCTTGAGCTCTACAAATGTGTAACTATGTAAGCATAAGCTCAACAAGGAATTAATTTAAAACTTAACGCATTTAAAATCATGAAAATCCCGAAACTTTCTAGTCATTAAGAACTCCATAACGGACTTCTAATGACGCACAAACTTTGATTGGCCCACAGAAGTCAAATCAAGACAAGAACATGACAGAAAAAAGGAGTCCAAGCTTACACCCTTTCCTGGCAGTGTAAGCCACACAAATGGTAAGTACTCCCGCCTCGACTTTGTCTATGGGACTTCCGCTTATCGGGCGTACGTTCTTCTACATACTGGCCTGTCTAGTTTTCAATAATTTAAGTTCGAACCCCACTCGTGGAGCACGCGCCGGGGCCACTTGTCTCGTCGTAACTGTTTTGAGAAATGTAGTGGAGAACTGACAAAGTGACCGGAAGATGATACTGTAATAAAAAACAGAAACAGCAGTACCAGCTAGGCTAGCCATCCACTGGCCATCCAGAAGCGGCAGAACAGCGACACGAGCACCATCCAATGTTTGCCTAGGAAATAGAAAACCAAGTACTGGAAATGAACATGAACAATGTTTTATATGCCCTGCGAGTGGTTGGGCTTTCCACTATATCTGCTTTTTATTTTCCAGTCTTTTTATACTTTTTCGCTAGCCATTTATTTACAAATGAACAATATTTATGGCCTCTTTTTGAAAGAGTTGGTCGCCGGGGCTCGGTGTTCATTTCTGTTCCAGTGTCGGGGGGCCAGACTTCCGGCGAGGCGGAGCGATCTTTTCGTACATTTGTTTGTGGTTTTATTTTGGTTTTATGCGTTTGGAATACCAACAATCGATTATGATTTACAAACTCCGCACGGATGACAATCAAAAATGGTTCTGTTGAATAAATAATTCTAATTTTCCAGCGATTATTGGCTTCCAAATGCGTTCATGTTGGATATGCTGTCAGTGGTCGCCGAAAGTGTTAAGTGAAGGGCTAATGATTTGGCAACCATACTTATTGGCTGTGATTTTGGCGTTGTTCTATAATGGTTTGTTCATAAACGGTTATCAAATCATATTTATTTTAAATGGAAATATAATTAAACAAAATTGATGCCTTTATTAGTGGGCTATGCACATCTAGAAATATCTAAAGGGGAAAGAGATAGTTTAAAACATATTTTATCGCTTGATTTATTCACAGAATTTTTGCCTACACACTTTATCATTCCGGGATAAGGCTGAATAACTGGCAATCTTTAAGCCGAGTAGCATTATCTCCTCGTAAGTAGCAAAAATCAGAGCAAGGCTATTATTATTTCGAGCCAGTTGCAATTAGCCGTGTCATGGGTAGAATTTATGATGAGCAATTGAAGATGCAAAAACAGGAACACTAAACGGCGGCACTTAAGCGATCATAACTTGGGCCGTGATAAATCGAACTGGAAACGCCCGCGGAGCTTCTACCGCAGTCCGCAGCAGCGTGCAAAAACTTATCCGGCCAAGAGCAGGATAAAGAAGCCACCGAGAACGCCAACAGGGATGAGGCAAACGGGGAGTGACAGCCAAGAACCTCAAGCAGCTGCTGCCGCTGAAAGGCGAGACCGCTGAATGAATTGGGCCGTCGTTGTCTTGGCAATCAGCGCTACCGGGCATAGAAAGTTAACACACCCGAAACCGGCTTCGGTTTCAGTCGATGCAGTTAGCTGCCAGTTGCCACTTGGTGCACTCCAAAAAAATGGGCATACTCTATTTTTTTAGAGGGGAATTTTTTCCTTTAAGTGAACTTTAAACAAGAAACTCATGAGAAACAACTTAAACTCTAGTTATTTTTAATGGCAAAATAAATAGTTTCCTATTAAATATTTAGAAACGTTTCCCGTGCAATTGCCAGTTACTGGTTGCAAGTTGTCGCTGCCGCAAGAAACTTGCCAGGATGGACTGCGGCGGATGTGTCTTCCGAGGGATTTGGAGGAGACGGCTTCAACAGGGGGAACGAAGAAGGGCTTCTAAGCGTTTAGCTTGGCTTTTGCTCCGCTTTGTTGGCCCCGCAGAGCGAAGTGAGCGCATCCAACTTCAAATTGCCGCAATTGCGTGTCGACCACAATCTTAACCAGCTGAAGACTTGGCAGAATGGGACGAAAAACTTAAAAACAACAGCGAGTGCACAGCAAGAAACTAGTCAGTTTTTATCTTGGACAAGGAGATAGAAGTCAGAATACTGAAGTCAAGTCAGAAAAGTGAGTTAGGCGATTTTCCTTTGTTGCTGAAAAGCTTAAGAATAATCCTTTCAGTGTAGCAGGGAGATAAAACTGGCACTGGGTGTTGTGGCCCAGGTTCTGCCCTCGTCTCCACTCCTAACCACTCAACTCCTGCCTGTTCCTGTCTGTTTCCTTTTGTTTTTAATGAATAAGTTGGAACACCTGCTCGTCGTTCGTCTCCTGTTGGGATCTCCGTCTGTCCCGTCCGATTGTCTTGGCAGCCCTGGCTGGGCTGCTCAAGTGTGACGGCGCTTATGTGTTCTATCTCAGCATCGGGTTCGGTCATTGTTAGTACCCTTTTGATGGAAGGTATGCAGGGACTGCAACTGAAAGAAGTACATCCTTGGGGTCTTAACATTTTCAGCTGTTCAATCAGAACTATAATTTGATGAATTCTTCGCAGAACTCGCTTCCTGATCATCTGGCAGGAGCTCTAATTATAATACTCCTACCACTCTCCCATGGATCCACAACTGTAGAGTAGATCCTAATCCCCCATATCCGCATGTCCCACGATAAAGTGGCCTGTCTGCATTTGATGCGTTAATTATCGAGTTGTTTGCCGAGGAAAGCAAATAGAGTCAGCTAAAGCGGAGCAGAGCCACCGGCTTAAGTCAATAAATAACCTGTTTGAATATCATTACGCATGAATCTGAACCAACGCACAGGGTCTGCAATCTTCATTCATTAAACCGAGCACACCTGGAAACGAGAACGAGAACGAGAACTGGAGACTTGTCATTGGAGCTGGAAACCAGAGGAGCAGAGGAGTCATTGCCTCGACAAGTGTCCGGCGACGTCAAGTTACGAAATTAAAACCAATTTCCCAGGGACTGCCATATCACCCGTGTCACAGGCCCATCAAAAATAAGAAGAAACCGAAAGAGCCCTCCGCACTCGAGAGCGACGATGATGCGTCTGATGGCGGGGAAAGAAAACAATGCGAATCGAGGCCCAAGGGCCCAACGAGATAATTGCAATAAAGAAATACGTAGCATAATTGATGGCGGGTGGGGCGAGGAGCTGGCCCGTTAAAGTGCAGATACTTGAGCAGTGATGATGCATCGACACTCTACCCTGCAATGTGCAGCCACCACCCATCATCTACCTCCATTTCCAGCCGCCCTGAATGCAAATTGAATTTCTCGTCGGAAGGCTAAAAGTAATTTCGATTGCAATTCTTTCTTTGCTACCGGCTGCCGTTGTAAGTGAATTTCATATGAAGGTGGCTCGATTTATATGGCATTACGTAAGATTCAATTTGCCC